GAGCCGGGGCCGCGTGGGGACACCCGGCCGTACCGACACGGGGCTGCGCGGGGACGCGGGGCACCGCGGGGGCATTCGGGGGCGTCGGGAGCGCAGTGTGGGGTGTTGGGGCGTGTGGGGGGACCGGGGGGGCTCGGGAGCTGTGCGGGTACGGGGAGCGTAGGGGCTGTGGGTGTGCGGGGGACGTGGGGGGCTGTGCGGGCACTGCAGGCTGCGGACGGGCACGCGGGGGAGATGGCACTGGGGGGTGCAGCCGCGGGCTGTGGCAGCACCCGCACCCGCCCGGCAGGGCACCGGAGGCCGCGTGCCCCCCCCAAGGCTGGGTGTTAATGGTTAACCCCGGCCCCACAGCTGCTTGGCTCCCATGGGGCAGCACCCCGCTGTGCCCCCCGCAGGGCGCTGGGTCACCACCCCGTCCCCCTGCACTGTGCACATTGGGAGGGCTTGCAGCCCCGACCCCATAGGGCCAGCTGGGCACCGGCTGCCCGCTCCCAGGGTTGGCCTTGGGCCGGGGAAGGGCTCCGATAAAGGGGGAATTTAAGGCTGGCGGACGCCCCGTGCCACCTGGCCGAGCCCTTGAGCACAATGCTTGCGCTCCTCATCCCCCTGCTGCTGCTCGCTGGCGGTAAGCTGTCCCCAAACCCGCTGTTGTCCCCGCTTTGGGGGGTCTGGGTGACCCCCTGAGTGACGGTCACCCTGTTGTGCAGGCTGCCACTCTGCCATGCTGCCCGGTGGGTCACGGGTTGTGAATGGGCAGGATGCGGTACCGTACAGCTGGCCATGGCAGGTGAGCAACATGGGTTGGTTTGGGTTGGAGTTGAGGTTTTGGGGGTTAGGGCTAAGGTTGGAGTTAGGGTTGAGGCTGAGGTTGGGGTTAAGTTTGGGACTGGGGGTTATGGTTAAGGTTAGGGTTGGGATTAGGGTTAGGGTTGGGATTATAGTTGGAGTTAGGGTTGGGGTTGGGGTTGAGGTTGAGGTGAGCATCAGGATTGAGGTTAGAGTTGAGGTTGGGCTTATGATGAAACTAAGGTTGGGGTTGCAGTTATGATGAGGACCAGGGTTAGAATTAGGCTTACGGCTACGGTTGATTGAGGTTGTCATTATGTTTATAGTTATGCTTAGGGCTAGGGCTGTCGTTGGGGTTAGGCTTGTTTGGTGAACAGAGATGGGGACACTGCAGAGGGTGACAGCACCCTGTGGCCCTGCAGATCTCACTGCAGTACGAGCGTGACGGCACCTTCCGGCACACCTGCGGGGGAACCCTCATCGCACCCGGCTGGGTGATGACGGCCGCACACTGCATCTCGTGAGCCATGCGCCTGCGGGCACAGGGATGGGGTGCGGGCATGGGGTGACGTGGCGTTGCTTGGAGGGATGCACGGCGCAGCGTTGAGGTGGCGAGGTTGCAGCAGGGGCAAGGATGGGGTGGGAGGGATGAGCGGAACGGGGAGCCCCAAGCCCTGGGGTCAGCAGGCACTGTGTCCCTTGGGCAGCTCCACGCGCACCTACGAGGTGGTGCTGGGTGAGTACGACATGAGCTCCGCCGAAGGCCCCGAGCAGCGCATCCCCGTGGCGGCCGATGACATCTTCGTGCACCCCAAGTGGAACAGCCTCTGCTTGGCCTGCGGGTGAGTGGGGTGCGGAGGCAAGGGGATGCTGTCCCCACCTGGGGACCTCTCTCCGGTGACACGTGTCCCCGGTGATGCCTCGCCCTGGTGTCCCTGTGTGCAGCAATGACATCGCCCTGCTGAAGCTGCAGCACAGTGCTGTGCTGAACGATTACGTGCAGACGGGGCAGCTGCCGCCCGCGGACACCGTGCTGCCCAACGGCTACCCGTGCTATCTGAGCGGCTGGGGGAGGCTGAGCAGTGAGTGCTGGGATGGAGGGGGTGGGGGGGGCAGGGGGAAGGAAGGATGAGGGATGGAGGGAAGGGTGGGAGGCCGGTTGGGCCAGTGGTGGATGGATGTGGGATGATGGATGGGTGGTGGGTGGATGGATTGATGGATGGATGGATGGATGGATGGATGGATGGATGGATGGATGGTTGGATGGATATGAAATGGATGTGGGATGAACCACGGATGGGTAGATGGAGTAGATGGACGGATGGTAGATGGATGGATGTGGGGTGGATGTGGGATGGAGGGATAGCCAACTGTAGGATAGATGGATGGATTATGGATGGATGACTGTTGGATGGATGGGTGAATGAATGGATGGCTGTAGGGTGGAGGTAGGATGGTTGGAAAAACGGGTGTTGGATGGGACAAATGGGTGGATGGATGGTTGGTTTATGGATGGATGAGGGTTATAGGGTGGGATGGAGGGATGAATGGATGGATGGAGGGATGGATGGAGGGACGGATGGATTAGGTAGATGGTATCTCTATGGTAAGGATGATGGATCACTGGAACAGATTGTCCAGAGAGGTTATGGAGTCTCATATGGAGACATTCAAGATCTGTCTGAATGCCAATCTGCGTGACCTATTGTAGGGAACATGCTTTATGAGGAGGGTTGGACTTGATCTCTTGAGGTGCCTTCCAGCCCGTGTGATTCTGTGACTCTGTGGGATGGAGTAATGGACATGGGATGCTTGTGGGATGGATGGATGGATGGATGGATGGATGGATGGATGGATGGATGGCATGGAATGGATGTGGAATAGATGTGGAATGCCTGTGGGATGGCTGAGGCTGGCGTGGAGGATGCTGGGCACAGCGTTGTCCACCTGGGTCCCTAACACCACCCCTATTGCCAGCGGGGGGACCACTGCCAGACAAACTTCAGGATGCTCTGATGCCTGTGGTGGACCACGAGCATTGCACGCAGTCTGATTGGTGGGGCAGCCTTACCATCCGCACCACGATGGTCTGTGCTGGCGGCGCTGAGCAGGCCGGCTGCAACGTGAGTGCTGTGCTGCACTGCGCCGCGAGGAGGGGTTGGAGCACCCCAAACCATCCTGACCCCCATCCCGTCCCCAGGGCGACTCGGGCGGCCCCCTGAACTGCCAGGCTGAGGATGGGCACTGGGAGGTGCACGGCATCGCCAGCTTTGTGTCTTCACTGGGCTGCGACACTCCAAAGAAGCCCACTGTCTTCACCCGCGTCTCTGCCTTTGAGGACTGGATTGCTGAGGTGGGCGTTGGGTGCTGGGATGGTGGGGTGCAGAATGCCCAGGGTGTGGGGTGACGGGCTGCCAGGGGCCGGGACACCGGGGTGCTGCGGTGCTGGGGTGTTGGTGTGCTGGAGAATTAGGAAGCTGGGAACTGAGGTGTTGGGAAACTGGAGTGTTGGGGTGCTGGGACACTGGGATGTTGGCGTGCTGGGGTGTTGGGGCACTGGGATGCTGGAATGCTGGGGTATTGGGATGTTGGGAAATTGTAGTGTTAGGATATTGGGGTGCTGATTGTTGGGGTGCTGAGATGTTGAAATGCTGGGCTGCAGGGACGCTGGTATGTCAGAGTACCAGAGTGTCAAGCTGTCAGGGTGTTGGAGTTCCAGCGTGCCGGGACACTGGGGTGTCAGAGTGCCCCGGTATTGGGCTCAGGAATGCTGGGACATTGGGGTACCGGGGTGCTGGGGTGCCATGATGCTCTGATATTTATGGGTGCTGGGTGCCGAGCTCCCCCTGAACCACTTCTTTCTCCCAGACCATAGCAAACAACAGCTGAGCAGAGCAGCAGCGACCTCCGTGCTTCACAGCGCGCAAATAAACCCACAGAGCTGACCCCTTGCGTCCCGTGTGCCGGGGGGGTGGAGGGGGGAGGCGGGGATGCGCGCACCTGGTGAGAGTGGCTGCATTGCCAGCAGATGGCACTGGCAGAGCGGGCACGGCAGCACGGCAGAGTTGGGCACACGGGGATGCCGGGCACTGTGGGAAGGATCCCCTCACGGTGCCGTGATGTCGTAGGAATGGGCACCTGGGGACATCCAGATATCAGAGGGATGGACACGGGGCGCTCTGGTGCCACAGGAATTGGTCTCCGACCTCTGCCCAAAGGCACCTGAGGCCGTGGGGGTGGTTTTCCCAAGAGGTGCCACGGGGACGGGCACCGACACCTGCGCCCTGCGGAAGAAGCACCCCGAGGTGCCCCGATGCCGCGGGGAGGGGTCCCCTCCGGGTGCCTTGTTCCAGTCACACGGCCGTGGCAGCAGCTCCGTGCCCAGCTCTCGCCCGCCGCCTCCTGCCCTCCCGGCCCAGCCGTCTCCTCGCAACCACCGTCCGCGGCGCGTGACCGGGAACAAAGGGCCCTTTGATGGCGCCCGGCACGCATGGGGCCCCCGCTCCCCCCATCCCATCCCATCCCTTTGGGAGCCCCACATCCCTGCGGGGACGGGGCCACCCTGAACTGGATGGAAAATCCCCATCACGTCCCTCTGCAGGCGCAGGGCTGTAGGGTTTTATGGGCCCCTGTGACCATGAGGGGGACCTTTGCTCCCTGGGGGGGCCCTTTGCTCTGGCTGCTGAGGCCAGCTCAGCTCGTGACACCCTTGTGCAAGCGGTGCTGCCTGCACGAGGCTGGGACAGGCGGGTGGGCCAGGCAGGGGCAGCTGGCGTGGGTGCTATGAGCCCCGGCATGGGCACCGCACGGCTGATGGGAGTGCTGCAAGAGTGGCAAGGGTGCTGCAAGGCTGCTACGGGTGGTGCAAGGTTCTACAAGGCTGGCACGGGTGGTGCGAGGCAGTATGGGTGCTCTGAGCCTGGCATGGGTGGTGCAAACTTGGCATGGGTGCTGAGAGCCTGGCAAGGGCAGCGTGGGGCTGGCACACACACCACGAACCTGGCTTGGGAACTTTGATCCTGGCACAGGCGCTGCGGGGCCTGGCACGGCTCCTGCAAGGCTGGCATGGACACCGTGAGCCTGGCACGGGCACGCGGCCCTGCAGCCCCAGGCAGCTCCTCCCTCACCGTGGTGCCAACTGCCTCCAAAACCCCCGTGTGTCCTCTGGCCGGACCCACCCCCACGGGTGACTCAGCCCGTTCCCAGCAAAGCCCGTCCCTATATAACACGGTGTCACCGTCGCACACACAGCACCCGCCCAGCCGCTGCCTCAGTTTCCCCACGCTGTAGCCATGTGGATGGTGTCGCCGCCGGTCGGTAAGTCCTGCTTTGACGCCCCGACGTCCCCTGGCCCAGCGCAAGGCTTCCCGTCAGAAAACGGCCCGTTCGGTGTGTTTGGGTTTCCTGGTGGATATTGGCTGGGTGAAGTTTGCAGACGTGGGGTGGTTCGGGGTGAAGGTGTGGAGCAGCTCTGCGTGGCTGGGTGCAGTGCGGCGCTGTGAACCGGGGATGGAGAGAAGTGAGAGCTGAGCGTGCTCCACCTGCGTGCTAACCTGCCCCGGAACTGCCTGTTCTGAATAGGTGCCCCTAACGCACATGGGGTCGATGTGGAAAGAGCCAAATCCATGTATTTTCCCCCCAGAAACAGTAATAAAAAGCACTGCCAGCAGTGGGGCTGAACCCCATTCTTTCTCCCCGTATCTCCGTGCCGTTGGGGCTGGGAATGTCAGGACCGGGCACGGCGCTGTGCAGCATTGTGATGCTGCAGAACACAGTGCTGCCTGCCAGGCGCTGCTTCGCTTCGGACCCGCGGCCACTTCGGTCAGACCCCAAAGTGCTGCCTTTTGCCCATTTTTCCCCTCCCCACAGCACGGGGAGAGCCCAGACACAAAGAGGGGGGCACAGTGTGACTCATGGGCCGAGTGCCCCCAAAATGCCGTTTCCTGCAGAAAAACGGGGCTGGAGGTGAAAACCTCCCCAAGCTCACCTCCTCAGGGTGTTTTTCCATGCACACCTGCCTGGCCCCAAACCGCAGCGGCGTGGCCTGGGGTGGGGTGGCCAAAGGTCAGCAGCAGCAGCACCCCCACCCTGCTCAGAAAAGAGGAATATTTGGAATATTTCCTTCCTGCAGGAGGGAGCGCGGCGGGGGGGAGCGGTTGTGGCTCTTGTTGTGCTCTGACGTGCTGTTTTCTTTCAGATGAAGGATCTCACCAGCTTGCCTGGCTTTGGGACCACGGCAAAGGCAGGGTGCAAAACACACTAGTAGGACATGACCCTTAACACTTTCTCTAAAGCGTAGCCCTATAGGTATATAAGATCAATAGAGCTTAACACTGGGGTTGGCTTTTATTCTGAGCTTGGGTTTGGCTTTTTTGTCTGTTTGTTTGGTTTTCCTTTTGTTTTCTTTTTTGTTTGTTTGTTATTTTGGAAGCGTTTTACTTTCTCCTTCGCCTCCCGCGGGCAGACAGAGGCAGGGGCTTGCAGAGCCTGAATGGTTTGGGGAGAGGTGCAGGAGCATGAGGAGGAGGGGGAAAGCGCTGCGCGAAGGCTCCTGCCCACAACCCTCCGCCGTCCCCTTCCCATCGTCGGAGGGGGGCAGAGCACCGACCTGCTACCTCGGGCGCTTAAATAACTCCCAGCCCCGAATCTGTGCCCTTGACCGGCGTCTCGGTGGCTTGCAGGTATTTTCCAGTACACCAAGAAGCTGTTCCTGAGCAGGCCGGCGGGACGGGCGCAGGCGCTGGAGTTCGTCCGGAAAAATGCGGCCAACGCGCTCTCCATGGCGAACCTGGTGGTGGGGCTCTCCTCCATCCTCTGCAGCCTCAACAGGTGGGGGACGGGCAGGCCGAGGGGCCGGGCGGGGAAAGCGGCGCGGGGCTGACGCCTCTCCCCCTACAGGCAGTACCACTGCTCCTGCTGGCTGCTCCTGGTGGGCTTCCTGCTCGATTTGGCCGACGGAGCCGTCGCCCGGCAGCTCAACGCCTGCTCAGCGCTGGGTGAGCCCCAGGGCTGGGAATGGGCCGGGGGTGCCGGCTGCCCGCCGCCCCCTCACCAGCTCACCCCCCGCAGGAGCCAAGCTGGATGACTTTGCTGACTTCACGTCCTTCGGGCTGGCCACGGCACTGCTGCTGCAGCCACGCGGCATGCTGGACGGGCTGCTGGCCATCACCTACGTGCTGGCAGTCTTCGCTCGCCTCTGCTTCTTCTCCAGCGGTAAGGCTTGGGGCTCACAGGGCTGGGCACCCCGTGGGCTCCCAGCTGAGCGCACGGCACCCCGCAGGGATCCCCTTCACCTACCGGGGCTTGCCGTGTCCCTACGCTTCCTCGCTGCTGGCCAGCACCTTCCTGCTGACGGGTGGCCACATCACGCTGCTGCGCGTCACTGCCATCGCCATGGTCCTCTTCATGGTGGACCGCGGCTTCTACCCCCACGACAAGGTGCTGGAATCGCAGTGCTGGAAGAAGGCAATCTACGTCGGAGGTAAGGAGCGGAGGTAAAACGCATCCCGCTCTCACAGAGGGTGCTCAGCCATCCCACGGAGCAGCGACCCAGGGAGGCGTTGGAGCACCGCTCTGCCCTCGCTGCTGACGGTTCCCCCCTGCAGGCATTGTGGCCGTCCTGTTCTCGCCCGCAATGGTCGCTCCCATCTACTACCTCGCCTGGTCGGCGTCGTACATCTTACTCCCCTTTGCCATCTGGAGCTGCAAAGCCTAACGGCCGAGCAGCAGCAACCCCGGCGAGGACGGCTCTGCCTTAACCTCCACCGCACGCGTAGTAAAGCTCTCCTCTGCCTCACTCTCGGGTGCCAGCGCCAGGCTGTCTCACCCCCCGCCTTTGTTAGCTCTTCCCGGGGAGGAGAGCCATGACAGCAGACTCCAAACCTAGCAGGCGCAATGCCGCGGCCCCACAGGGCTTCCCACCATGGCAGTCTGCTTAGAAAACAGCTGAGCTCCCACAAAGGGGAACTTGGCGCCAGCAGAGCTCGGGCCGGGCTCCAACCTGCCCTGCACACCCGCACCCCCAGCCAGAAGAACAACAGCCCTGCACCAGCCCCCTTCCCAGGGAACCACCCCCCAGATGCCTCCTGCCAGTCCCACCAGCTGGGACAGAGATGGAGGTTCGACCAATGCATTCCCACTGTACATAGTAATTTATTGCGAGGGCACAGTTGCGGCGGCTTTACGTTCCCCAAATCCTCAACATGAGGAGGAAGTGGCCCCCGCAGCAGGCAGTCTGTAGTAGGATAGGGGTGAGGGTGCCCCCTTTCCTTGCAAAGCCCAGCCTGAGGCACGGGGAGCACTCTGGTATTTATTTCTGACGTGTCGCCATAGGGAAATAATATCTGAAGCGTGTTCTTTTTTTTCCTTTCTGCGCCCGGTCGATGAGGTGTGGGAGGGAGGAAGGAATGTGGAAAGGAAAAATGGAACCTGAAACCCTGGGGCCGAACTCTCTGGAAATAAAAAAGCTGGAGAACAACTGCGCCGCCTGCTCTGGGAGCGTGGGGTGGGGGAAGGAAGCGAAGGTCAGACCTCGCCGAGCAGCAGAGGAAGCGGAGCGGCTCTGTCACTCTGCACCTCCAGGGGATCCTGCAGCTCCAGCAGCTGCAGACAGACAGAACGACCCTGTCGCGGGGCGAGCGGCCCTGAGACCCGCAGTGCTGCCAACGGGCGGAGGGGCTGCGCAGGGCAGATGAGGCCATCGGCTGCAGCTGCTCTGGCACACGGCCCTGCGATCCCGGGGGGCTCGGCCGGCCTGCTGCGTGCGAGCAGGAGGCGGAGGAAGGAGGAACGACCGCTGCTTTTATTTAGAGAAAAAAGATAAAAAGAAAGCAGAAAATAACAACAAAGAGGCGTCTGTCAGCGTAAACAGCGAGATAGGGAAGGGCCGGCAGGCGGCGGGGCTGTGCTGCTCCGTGCCGCTTTGTGCCGCCTGCCGCTGCGACGGCGCCGGGCCCGGCCCGACCCTCACTCCCCGCCGGCCTGCATCTGCTTGCAGAAGGCGTCGAACTGCCGCTGCTCCAGCTCCGTCATCACGCGGTTCAGAGCGTAGATCTGCGGGGAGAGGCGGGGAGGCACCGCGGTGAGGCGCCGCTTGAGGCCCCGGCTCGGCCCGCCCCGGCTCGGCCCGCCCGGCTCACCTCCGCGCGCTGCCTCTGCTTCAGCTCCTGCTGGGCCGACCTCTGCTTGGCCTTCTCCAGGCGCGCCGCCGGCTCCCGGCCCTTCGGCCTCTCCTTCCGCCCCCCGCTCGGCTCCATGGCCGGGCCGGCCGGGCCGCGCCCCGCTACCGGCGGGACGGCGCCCGCTGCAAGATGGCGGCGGCCGGGCCCCGCCACCGCGCATGCGCGACCAGTGAGGCCGGGAGGCTAGAGCGTGCGCGGTGCCGTAGCGCCCCCTAGCGGACAGGAGGAGAGCGGCGGGGCAGCCACCGGCGGGGCAGCCACCAGCGGCTCAGCCACCAGCGGCTCAGCCTCCAGCGGCGCTGCCCGCTGTGTCAGCCCTCCGAGCAGCGCAGCCCCGCACATCGCACCCCACACACGATCGCAGCCCACACCATCTCCGCTGTTTATATTGCACAGCCCTACGCCCCACGCTTGACACCACGCCCCCAAGCCCCTACGTAACAGCCCTACCGCACACCCCCTGCAGGGCACAACTTCTGTCAGCACCGCTGCAGCTCCCCTGCACCATCCTCACTGCCAGCCGCGCACAACACGTGGCACAGGACGGCACGGCGTCCCTCACCCCGTGCAGGGGCTGCACCACAGCCCCTCGGCTCCAAATGCACCTTTTATTGCAGCGGCCGGAGCAGGGCCGGACCCACGGGGCCATGTGGAAGCACAGGACGGGGACACCAGCCGCGCCATGCCCGGTACCCAAAGTCAGCTGCGCCCTGCAGGCATCAGCACGGCCCCGTCCCGCCGGCAGCCCACGGGGTCCCACTAGATGCGGACGGTGTTGATGCGCAACGGTTGGACGTTCTTCCCGTTGGCGTGGCTCTGCCCGGGGCTGAAGTAGGAGCAGAGCTTCCCTGGAAACTTCTCCCGGAAGGTGTAGAGCCACGACATGTCGTCAGCGTTGTAGAAGATGAGCAGCCCCTTGTCGTAGTCCAGGAAGACGCCCACCTTCTCCAGCTTGCTCTTGACATTGAGCCGCGTCCAGGGCTCGGTGCAGGCGCTGTACTGGTTCCCGTCGTGCATGACAATGCAGTAGAAGCCGCGGCTGGGCTGGATCTGGATGCTGCCCTTGCGGGTGACGGCCTCGTGCGCCAACCCGATCATCCACTGTGTCTTCTCAGACACCACCACCTCCCAGTAGTGGACACCGCCGCCGAATGCCTGCGTGCCCAGCACCGACACCTCCACGTCGAAGCGGCGCGGCGAGTCCTGCAGTGGCTGCGGATGCAGGTTGCCGTAGGCCACGATGGTGCAATCATCAGAGAGGATGAGGCGCTGGTGGGCCGTGCCGGGGTCCAGCGTCAGCGCCGCGGGCACTGCGGAACGGCGGGCGTCAGCATCCCCGCCTGGTGCCCCCCCCTGTGGGGCATGGTGACCCCCTCCCACCTCCCCGCCGGCCTCACACTCACCTGGGTGGATGTCCTGAAAGAGCGACTTCCAGATGGTGTACTGCAGTGGCCCCATGTACTTGGAGGTGGGGAAGTCCTCGTAGGTCAGGTTGGTCTCGTGGATCTTCCCCTTCAGCCTGCGGGATGGGCAGCAATGTGCACGGAGCTCCGTGGGCACCCACTGCCCCGCGGCACCCACCCACCTCTCGGACAGGGACGCGACGCCGGCCAGGAAGGCGTGCTTGTCAGCCTCGGCCAGGCGCTCCTGCAGGATCTGGCTGCCCTCCTGCACCTTGCGCAGCTGCTGGCTGTAGCGCTGGATCTTCTGCTCGATGTCGGTCAGCGTCCGCGCCGTGTCGGCCTCCAGCTCCTCCAGCATCGCCTTCTGGCGCTCCCGCAGCAGCCGGTGCAGCCGCTCGAAGGCCTCCCCGATGGTGGCCCGCAGGCTTTTGGCCGATGACTGAGGAGGCGAGGGGCACGGCCGGGCCGCAGCGGGTCCATCAGCATCCTGGCAGAGTGCGTGGGGAGGGGCAGGGGAAGGGATTCGGGGCACGTCCCCGCAGTCTCACTCCTACCTTGGTGTCGGCCAGCTGCCTCTTGAGGAGGTGCAGGGCCTCGGTGTGGCCTCGCTCGCTCTCCTGCAGGCCCTGCAGCTGCTCCTTCAGCTCCCGCTGCAACACAGAGCGCCCTGACCCCGTGCTCAGCCCTGGCCTCACCGCACTGCCTGCTTCCCCACCCCACAGCAGCAATGTTCCAAGGGGCATGGGGAAAATGCAAAGCTTTGTGCCCGCCCCACGCTCAAGCAGTGATCCCAGCCACCAGCAGCGCGATGCTGAGGTGCTGGGAGAGCTGTGAGGCAGCTCCACAGCCCCATAGATATCCACCACGGGGCTAAGCTGGCACTGCAGTGACCAGAGACCACGAGGGCCAGCACATGGCACAAAGCTGCCCCAATACAGCAGGTTTTGGTGCTGCTGTGGGAGGTGGGATCCTGTGTGGGACAGGAGGGAGTCTGGTTTGGGGCTGCTTGGGGATCCCCAGGGAGAAGCTCAGCAGAGCCACATGTAGGGACAGACGGACGGATGGGTGGGTGGCCACACAGTGTGGATGGACAGATGGACAGAGGATCGCACTCCACTTGTGAGGAAGTGACAAGGGAAGCAGCACCCCAGAGCCATGCGCAAACAGGCAGAGGGAGCTCTGGCTGTCCTGAACGTTGACAGATGGACAATGTGCTGCACGGTGCACACGGATGGACAGACAGAACATCCCACAGACAACACAACTCTGGGAACAAGGGGGGATGGATGTTCAGGGACAAACACACAGACAGACAGACATCTACCTGCAGCTCCTCAAAGGCATCATCCACGTTGGTGACCTGGTGCTGCTCGTGCATGGCCGGCTCGTCGCAGAAGAAGCACACAACAGTGCGGTCGGTGAGGCAAAAGAGCTTCACCTTCTCGTGGTCCTTGCAGGGGAAGGGGCTGCGCTGAGCCCCCAGGATGGCATCCAGGGGGAAGGCGCTGTAGCGCTCCACGATGTTGGCCAGCTTCAGGCTGGGGGCCAGCGTGGGCTCGGTGAAGGTGCGGCGGCACTCGGGGCAGTCGCGGGCGCCCTGTGGCTCCTGGCGCACCCAATGCTCTGTGATGCAGCGGCGGCAGAAGTAGTGCTCACAGCCGAAGCTCACCGGGTCCTGGTAGATGCTGAGGCAGATGGAGCACAGCAGCTCATCCTTCAGGCTGCAGGCCATGGCTGGGGCTGCAGGGGGACGCTGGGCTGCAAAAGGGGGGGTTGATGGGGTGAGAGTGCTGCAAATGGAGGCAGGATGCGGATGGGGGGCCACAGTGGAGCTGTAATGGGGGGAGCGGGGGTGAAGCCACCAATAGGGGGGTCAGATTGGTAAGGGGGGGTGGGGGTCAGGGTGAT